ACACGTCTGAAAACCCAGCTAAGCTACTAACCCCTGCAGTGACGATTTCTGTACGAACTCTGGGTTGTGATAGCTAATTCGCCTTTTATCAGTTCCAAATTCTGGTGACATGTTTTGCTGGGTGATGTCTTTGTTATATCATGCTGGAACATTCCTCATAAAAATCCACGTGATATATCCTATATTGTAAGAGAGAGGGAAGCCCTACTCAGGGCTTTGTATCCCTTAAACATTTTTCAAAACGTTTTCAGGACGTTGAGGAACAGGAAGGTGGGATATATATGGAGAAGGTGCTGCCTCACACATCCTATCCTTTGGTTTTAAAAAAGCTTTAAAGAGAAGTATAGCTATCTGTAGACGTTATGCAATGCAGTTTAAGAGAGTTCCATTCCCAAGGTCTGTCCTTAAGTTGAATTTGTACGTAAGCCAGAACAGTATTATTGTATAATACTGTATAAGTAGTATTGTGTTATGAACTCAACCCATTGTGTACTCAAATCATTGTGTATTTAACTCAAATTTTGCTACAGTGGGCTCCGTTCTTAATTATGGGTTGTCTTTAAACTGGGCCTACTGGGGGACTATGTATTTTTGTAAATTCTCCTTGATTACTGCTGAATGACACAGTTTATATACATTGTAGTGCCGATTACAGTATTCTGGTTGGGAATTAACAAGATTTTCAGTGCAGAATTCATGGAAGAGCCTTAAGATGCTGGCAATTTGATTTTCAGTCACTTTCTGATCTTTCCTGGCACTGCATTTCTGAGTTACTTTTTCACTCAGGCCTCATCCTGAGTTAGGTGGTTGCCAAAAGTTAATCCTGCCCAGGGAGTCGATGCCCTTGTTTATTTCCCACCTAGACCCTACTCTAGTTATCTAAACTACAAAGTGTGAGGAAAGAAGACCCACACAGCCTGTGACCTCGGCGCTGTGTTGTGTACCATCTTCCACAAAATAAGAAAGTGATGATTAGAGCACTAATGAATAGGGTGGAGAAAATAAATGATGCAGTTAGCAGACCTAAGGAAAGTCAACAGCTATATAACCCCTTCTAATATTGAATACACCAGTGTTTCTCAACCTTGGCAGCTTTAAGATGTGTGGACTCCAACTCCCAGAATTCCCCAGCCA